TGGCAATATTTGCCATGTGGCAGATCAGCTCCACAGATGTTGAGTGCCAGTGGAGGAAGCCTGGCACTTCCAAAGTAGTCCAGCCGGTGTCTCAACTTTACCAACAGCGAGAGGAGACATACAACCCACTGGCGAGAGACATCGCCAACTGTCAACTGGGGGGTTGTAAACAAGGCCGAAGGGGTGAAGGCTTTTGTGGAGGCCTATCAAGTGACAGTATTAGAATCGAGTCTGGTCTCTTTGTGAGTGAGTCGGGTGTTTTGGGAGCATCACCCGATGGACTTGTGCAGCCATCTGCCCTGCTGGAGGTGAAGTGTCCACACAGCCAGAGGAACATGACCATCGCGGAGGCAGTCCAGTTACCATCCTTCTGTCTCCGTGAGGAGGGTGGGTCATATATTCTCAAGGAGAATCACCCATACTGGCACCAGGTCCAAGGGCAGCTGCATATCACAGACCGGAGTCTCTGCTACTTTGTTGTGTGGACCACGAAGGAGGCGATCATCATCCCCATCCCCATCCCCAAAGACCCTGCATGGCATGGAAATCTCCTCCTCCTGGAACAATTCTACACCCAGCATATGCTCCCTGTGTTGGCCAGTAGAGAGGAGGACATTTCAATAAACATACTCTTAACACCCTCGGACCCTGCGTTGTGTTTCGTATGTGTGATGGGGTGTTATGCAGAGGGGAGGAAAACAGGACACAGCAGATTGGGATTGTGGTGGAGATGCTGAGCAGTTATTTAATTGTTGCATGTAATTATTATTATACTGCGTGCTTCTGAGTTATTCCATATTTTGCTGTAACATGGATCTGTATGTAACTCTATATTTACTTGTTATCTACCACACTTCCTTCTACATCATACACCATCATTATACATGATGTTGTATATAGGATATATATATTTGTATACATATCTGTAAATTGTATAATTTTATTTAAACGTCTTTTTGATCTCTCAAACTGAGTAAGATTGACAATAAAGTTGACTTTGAAAAATATATATATTCTTTATGAAAATAGTTGACTGTTGTCAAATGAATCCAAATGAAACGTTGGATTGAACTACAACTACGCCTTTAAATCTCTACGGACTGTTTTTCAGTGGGATGGCAAGTTCCTATCTTTAAACATTTATTAGTTTTTTCTCAGAACAGATTTGATTTTCTGAAGTTAATTTAACTTTGCCGACCATGTAAGGTCATCATTAAAAGGTACAATCAATTTGTTTAGGGTTGACTAAAATAATGAAAAACATTCATTTGGATAATTTACTGACAGAATAAGAAACTCAATGATGCTCTACTCACCTGTTCCTTTTTTATAAAGTGAAACAGTTGAAACGATAGATTTTAGTAAACTTAAAAACAACCTTCTCCAAAAGCTATCTAGGAATATACCGAATACTTGTTTTAGAACTTTATTACATATTTTTATATAAATAGTTTGAATGATCCATAATTGACAGAAGCTTGTGTTTACACTGACCTGTTACTCATATATTAATGTCTTTGTAACTTCAGTAAACCACTACCTCACTCATTTCAGTTTCATTCATCACGGTTCAGTAAACTATGTGATACATGAACCAGTTTAATCATTATAATAACCCTATAATGACCCTCTTTGCTTGGTTCATCTTACTGGGGGGCAGCTACATGGATGTCGGTGCAGTCCACAATCATTGCGCAGTTGAAGGCAGAATGAATTTATTATTGACTCCGAATGAAGCACAACTTCATGTCATACAATACAATGACTTTATTTGTAATTGTGTAAAAAAATATGAGCATTGATTAGCAAGCAGGACCTGCAGGAACAGAGAATGGTGATGGATGGAGCTGGGAAGAGAGAAGAATAAAGAAAACAGATCAACTTTATTATCGGATATTAAAAATTCAATTTCAAAACAAGTTGCCGCTCCTACAGTTTTCTAGTATGTAAAGATGATTTCACATGACCTATGCAAAATATCACACTCAATACATGTGTGTCTCTGGGGGGTGCATTGTGCCTTTGATGTATATAAATAATATACCATAACCAAATACTATTACGTACAGTGGAAATCAGGTTGCCAGAGCAGGTCAGTGTGCATGTTCCTCAACGTCTCAGCAGTTACAGGTGAGGTAAAGAAAATAAAAGAGAAAAAGGTCAGTAACAACACTTTAAAATAACAACACTTTGAATAATTATCTCTTCTAACAATTTTCTCTCAATAAGCACACAACGACTGTCTTTCCAGCAAACAGATTGTTATCACAATGAAAAACGTCCAGAAGAATGACATGCAAAGCTCCCTGCCTGCCTTCGACTCTCCCTGAACTGCTTCCTTAGCACCCGGTGGAGGGCGCAGTAGGCTACTCTTCAAATGTTTCACGAAATACTTACCATCATGTTTGGTTACTGTTTAACATTTTGGTTTACTTCATGTAATAAAATAATAACTTCATGGTAAGGCTACTAAAAATGACAAGGCTAAGTAATGTAATGCTAACTAAACGTGCTCGCTACTCGTCGCTACTAGCTAGGTAGCTAACTTGACTATGTTCCATGCACAACATGTATATTACCTATGATATTACCTGATATGTCTGATCCAGCGACTCCTGGTCCTTTCATCAGACGGGTATCGATAGAAGGAGCAAGTGGTATGATCACTTTTATGACTACAACCTGGTACAAAGCACACAGGCATCTTGTAAAAGTGAATTTATTTTTAGCGATCTATAATTTATTGGAGGGAATAAATCAGTTATGAGATCTTCTTCTTCTTCGCTTTAATTACGAGTCTTATTATAAATCACCGAGCATGCCTGTGACATCACTTACGCGACCCAGAATGGGATTTGGGATTTGTAGTCTTTGTAGTAGCGTATTTTTCATAGTCTTATATTTCAGCAGTTTTACGACAAAATGTGACTTTTTTGACATGGAAATGATTGTTTAAGATTGACAAACATCATATGTGTAGTTCGTGGCACAATTCAAACGGGATCAAAAGATACGTGTTCTCTCTCCATTGAATTCAATGTAAATGTTTCGCTTCCGGGGTCCCATGGTCCGGAAGTAGATGGGCGTGACTTCGCCTCTCCATAAATAGTCAAAGAAACGCCCATTCATTCATTTTGACTGACTGCATGAAGAAGATCGCAGGAAATGACGACAGAACAGCTAAAAAAGACATCTCACACCGTGTCAGATGTGGGTTATTTTGGGGAGGTGGAGATAAATCATATTGTTTGGTGGATGCAGTTTGAACCAGAGTAGCAGCATGGAGGTCGGATCGTCACCAAAATAAATAAATAAGTGGTCCGAAAAAGGTTAATGACAAAAAAAATACACATAGCCTTCCTCAGGCAGTGTGTTTGTACCGGGGACAGGAGACCCCCCCTTGATGAGAGACTGTAAGAAATGATCGGGGAATCCCTCCGGAGTGGAGTCATGACGACTGGATCTGAATTATGTTTTCGTATTTGGTGGTTTGTGTTCCAGCTGTCGATCAGCTGTTCGCAGCGTCTCCACTGCAGCAACCCTATATCCACCAGTTAAAGGAAATACAACTAATGTGTTGTGTTATATTACAGTACAATTGACCACATATGGTGTTCTTAGTTTCCATACCTCCTGTGTTTTATGAGCGACTTATCAAGTCTTAGCAAACGGCATAAAACATGATTAAACATGATAGTAGCCTATATAAAACCATGCTCGTACAACCTATAGAAATGCAAAACCGCATCATTTATGAGAAAACATTTCATAACATTAACACAACATATTCAAGGTTGTTTTAAATAACATATATATCATATGTATTTATTTCTCCAAGTTATGTTTTTGTGTGCACTGAGGAGTCTCAAACAGGCGTTTGTTTAATCATTTTAAGATTGGCTTTAATCAATGTTTGAAAATGAATTCTTCATATGATAAATGAGAGGTAACATTTTGTTTATGGTTTTATTTCCACATATTTCTCTCCATTCTTCCTTCTGCCAACGGTGTCGCAGTTTCTCGTCTCTCCCGTGTTTGTGTGCTTAGTGCGTACGCATGGGTTAGAGTTTGCGTGGAGGACCGCACGTTTTCCCGTCAAGTTAGTATTTTATAAATCGCAAACATTGCGTAGAAACTGGCGTACGCCATTTTTTGAGCGTATATCCCTTTATAAATGAGGCCCCTGGTCCTTTCATCTGACGGGAAGCGAAAGAACGAGCAAGACCCATTGCTGGCATGATAACAACCTGGTACACAGGCATCTTGTTAAAGTTATATTATCTTATGCCACTTATCTCAGCTGATCCTAGCTATTATCTATATTATTACTATATCTCTTAGTGGAGGAAAACAGTTATGACATCACTTACGCGACTCTGGGATTTGTAGTCTTTCTAGTGCGTATTTTTCATAGTCTTATATTTCAACAGTTTTACGACAAACTGTGACTTTTTTGACATGGAAATTATTATTTAAGATTGACATACATCATATGTGTAATTCGTGGCACAATTCAAACGGGATCGAAAGATAATCTTTCTCTCTCCATTGACTTCAATACAAACTTTTTCCAAAATAAGGTCCCATGAGTCCCACCGGAAAGGGAGGGATGCTGTCAGAGAAGTTTCGTTTTCCCCGTAAACTGCAGTTTTTGTGGTTGTGCTTGGTATGTGTACCGGGGCGTCCGGCTTTGTGAAGTTAGTCATAATTATAATGATTGGACTAAAGAATAGCGGGCAAAAGGGACCTAAGTAAAGCGAATAGATCCACAACATGAAGCATATCCAGACGCACAATCCAGTTTGGTTGTCACCTGGTTAATACCGGCTTTTAGCCGCGTACCCCGTTTTAATTCGAGTACAGACTCCGCATTTGTTGGTTTCGGTGTACGCCGGTAAATATAAAAAGCAAATCTTGTGTGATGCTGCATTCCAAGGTGTAGATGGGAAATGTAGTCAGATTAGTCGAAGCTTCCTTTGAGTCGTTTCTGTAAGGAACTACAGTTCCCATGGTTCATAGCATGCGAGCGAGTTGTGTTGACATCTGCCGGTAGGCCAGCAGTCACACGCTTCTCACAGACCGTTCTGCAAAGCGATTTGGAAGGTAGGCCTAGTTACATATTGAAATATGAAGTTTTAGACTGCCTTACAAGCTAATACTTTGTGGCAATTGGTTTGACATTGACAGTTTTCCACAGCACTGAAGCTAACGTTACATTAAAAGGGTTTTAGAAATGACAGCCAGGCTTGGCAAGCTAACACCAGCTAGCAACACAGACAACATTAGGATGCATATTTGTATTTTGTAACGTCTTGTGTAACTTCTTATGTAAGTGGCATAAGAAAACATATCGTTTAAACAGTAATAAAAGCAAGACATGGCGTTAACGCCTGCACAGAATGACGTTAGGTGGATTAAAAAAGCTGGTTTAATCATTTTTGTTGTCACGTTATCATGTTATAGTTATAAAGTTGGCATTATGTCTTTTGGAATCGATAGTATCCAGTAGCCTATTCTATTTGCCGAACATCTACCATGCAGTCTTTGTTCCCTTAATAATTTGACTTTTATAACAGGTATCCCAAACACTCTACCAACACAATGGAGCTTCATTGCGTATAACTTTCAGCTATTAGTCATATATTTAGCTGTTATCAGGTGTGTTTTAGGACCCATTGTATGCCGAAGAATAAAAAAGACCCCAACGACGTGTAACATCTGCTAATACTGTCCATGTTTGTATGTGTGATTTTCGTTCAGAACAACTTAACGTGTTTTCTATAGGAGTTGAGTGTGTATCTCTAGACACGTTATGTGCTATTGATGGCCAGAGGTGGGAGAAGTACTCAGATCTTGTACTTGAGTAAAAGTACCAGAGAGTAGGAATAGTCTGCTACAAGTAAAAGTCCTGCATTCACAATGTTACTCAAGTAAAAGTACAAAAGTATAAGCATCAACATATACTAAAGTGAAAATATGTATTCTGCAGATTGGGTTATTTTGCGCTCACCCTAACCCAGAATCAGTTGTATTACCAAGTAGGTTCACACAAACAAGGAATTAGCTTTAGTATAAATGGTGCATACAAAGACACAGAAAGAACAATATGTAGCATAAATAGTACTATTCTAAAAGCTAAAAGTACAATGTTTACCTCTGAATTGTAGTGAGGTAGAAGTACAAAGAAGCAGAACATGGAGATAATCCTCTAAAGTACAAGTACCTCAAAATTGTTCTTAAGTACAGTACTTGAGTAAATGTACTTAGTTACATTACACCACTATTGATAACTATGTCATGAAGTAACCATTCTACCATGAAGGTTCATTTCATTCTCTGTATCTGTGTGATAGAACCTTCTGGAGGAGCAGTGTTTGGATGAGAGCGTCAGAGAACAATGTCTCCTCCTCGACTCACAGGGGCTCTGCGCTCCTTCTCCACTGTCAGCAAGAAGGAGGATTTTAATGAACAGCTCTACGATCTGAAGGTGAGACCAGCTCATGGGTAATGGGAAGTCTGTCTCTATTGTCTCTATATAACGTTATATTTAGTAAAGTTTGGTATAGTAAAGTTTGCGCTGATCTGCAAATCAGGGGGTCAGCACTTTGTTCCGACCCCCTGATGTCTACATTTTAAATGAGGCCCTTTAGTGTTAGTTGTAGTCATCTTTGTCATTGCCTCTCCTCTCACTCCCCTGTGTCATGCAGGCAAACGGCCTCGGAGCTTTAACATTTTGTCCCCACAGGTGCGTATTGGTATGACTGTGATAGTTGATTCGGCTTGATCAAAACATTCATAAAACAATCTCTTCTTCAGATAATAACAGGACAAAGCTGAGGCACAGTGTCAGAGAGCCGTAAGGATATCGTGGAGTTGACCTTATCAGGAGGATAGCTCCCTCCCGCCAGTCACTCTCTGCTAGGAATAGACTGGTTATGGAATGTTGATTATTATCTTAGAAGTATTTAATTTTCGAGGAGAGAGCAAGAGAAGGCAAAAGTTGGTTGGGCAGAAGCTGTGTCACTACGGTGACTCAGCTTATGTCTATATGCTCAGGCTGTAACTTTGAATAGATCTCCAGTGTCTGACATCAGTTCGAAGCTCTCCTGTCATATTAAAACCTTTTAAGTTGATATGGCCTACTTGTTACACGTGTCACACGTAGTTGTTCATGCTGGTGTGCAACAACTTGACCCAGGAACTGTTTCAGCCTGAAGCCAGCGCTCTGTCTCTGTGAATGCTGACGATAAAGCCTGACAGAGATCTCTCTGACATCAAACTGCTGCTTTGTCAAATTCACATGAAGCGTGCAAATGCTATTCTAGTTTCTTACCTCCTTTGAAGTTTTTACCACGATGTCCACTGCTTGCAGATGGACAATATCTGGGTGGATTGTTTGCTTTATCCTCACTGGTTTGCTTTCAAACATTTCTACCTGTGTTTTGTATCTTATTTTGGCTTTCACCATTTAATCAGCATTCCAATCATTATTGCTTTTCACTCTTATCTTACTGATTTGTTTTTTCAGATCAGTTGCCTCTTCGTGAGATTTGAAATGCAATTGGGTGCCGATTAAGCTGTTCCCTGTACCTGGCTCACCTCCAGTTAAATCCTCTCAGCAGAAAAAGTGCTTCTCCAGAGGAAAGAAGCCTGAAGCCGCTCTGAGATTATCTCTCAGCCTGTGCTAAAATGCTTAGTTTTAGAAGGCATGGAGCTGTAGATTGTAATGGAGTCATTGTGTTAATGCCTCTCCTGACCTCCGAGCTGCTCACTTTAATACCTCACTGCTCTATAGGCAGACGCTTCAAAGTAAGCTTATTGTCATTAACACTGGATCTTCTACAGAAATACACATACTACTAAAGATGCATTTGGAACTACAATTTGAAAGCTCAGTATCAAAATTGCATTAATTTGTGCCAGTATTAAAAGTCAGGTGTTATATATGCACCATTTTCAAATGATAGCACTAGTCTGAGGTGAATCTGAAAAAATTGCATTATGGGAACGTTTCGGAAATATGGTGAGATTAAAGAGGGACATCACTACATAACACTCACGTTTCTATTGGCTTCCGCTCCAAAACATTGCACTTGATAGGGGCAGTATGTCTCCAAGCGGTTGACCAATCACAACAGAGCCAGCCAGCCAACCAATCAGAGCAGACTGGGCTCTGGTTTCAGACAGAGGGTGAAAAGAGGTGCTGCAGCACAGGCAGTATGATAAAAATAAAGAGCTTTTTGAACATTAAAGCATGGAGACATGTCCCAGTGGAGGCACAGCATAGGATTTGGTGTTCTCTTTAACATTCAATGGCATATTGGATAGCCACGACAGTTGTCCTTACATCCAAGCTAACAACATTATTTATTTATTTATTTATGAATGCTTTTTTCACTTCATCCTGCTTTGACAAAATATTGGGCTTCTTTTGTCTTATCCAAGGCTTTGTGGGCGGTTAAAATACCTGTCATTATGACAGCAGTAAGTGCTCCTGCTGTCCTTGTTGAAATGAAATCGTTTTTCTCCCTGTGCTTCATGTTAGACCAAGCGGCTGAAGAGGCGGGAGCTGTTTGCCAGAGAGGGTCTGACGTGGCAGAAGATTGTCCATCTCTGCTCGGAGCATCAGGACAACGCTAAACAGCAAGCTGAACTGAAGAGCCTCCTTCAGGCAGCCAAGGAAATTGGTAATTAACTCCTCAGCCTCAAATCCATTTTCTTGTCTTTCAATGTATTTTCATGTTTCATGTTATACTGATGAAAACACAGTTACAAATAACACAAAGCCCTTTTCTGTTTGCGACTAAAAGTGATTATGAAACACTTACCAGTTCCTGAAATGACCATGTTATCATTTTATGCCTTTGAAAAATCTGGAGTATAAATCATTGTGAGTTTAAAGAAAGATCTCTGTCTGGCTTTAAGAAATGACCCACTGAACAGATTTAGAGACATGTTGTCATGCAGACTGTTTTCATTCTATTTGTCCAGGATTTGAGGTGCATTTTATCTGTGAAGTAAAGGAAGAATTGTTTTTGGTGCTAACAAGTTAGAGAAATGGCATATTAGATTGTTTGCCGAAACTAGAGTACTAAAAAAGAACTACAAATATGGTTCCCACGGCTTTTCAAAAAGTCTTAAAGATCTTAAAATAGAAATCCAGAAAATGAGGTTGTCTCTTTATCCTCACCTAGTGAGAGCAACTGAATACATCATTGATAAAAGGATCACTATGATATAACCCAGACAGTAAAATATATATAAACAACGTATTTAACAACCTACTGAGAAATTGAACTTGACACTCCATAGACATCGAGTACATTGAGTAAAGAGAGCTAACAACACATCATGAAAACAACAGTATGACTGCATCCAAGCATCAACAGTTCATCTTCAAATAAAATGTTCCTTAAAACAAAGTATTGGACCGCTGATATGCCTTTTTTAATATCAGATGCAGCAGGGCAGCAAATGGATGATATACATTGCCCACGTTGTTGTTTTTCTTGTTGTTTCATTATCTGATAAACAACAACAAACCAGACACATTGTAATTGTTAAAGTGAAATTGTTTTGTATTCTTTGAGCGTTATATGTTGACTTTGTCTGCAGTGCTTGTATTTTAAATGATAAAGTATCAACTAAATGTCCACGGGGAATCATAAAAATACATTTAAAAATAAAAACAACTGGTGAATGAGAAGTAAATAGTTTGACTGCATTTGTTAGCAGATAGCAGCATCTCCTTTATCTGAGATAGAACGAACATTGCAGACACAAATCAAATCTGATGTCTCCTCAGTGCAATCCTCTTCTAAATAAATAATCAGCCTCTTTAGTGCAACGGTCAATAATGGGATGTGTAAACAAACATCAGCGTAAAACTAATATAAAATATTATAAGCTAAGCCATATTTCCTAAACATTAGAAAGGCTTAGTTGTATGGATGACTGTAAATCAGCTACTGGCAGAGAATGGCAGTTCATATCATTTGCTCATAAATGTGTTCTTAAAGAGGACACATTATTCTCACTTTCAGGTTCATATTTATATTTTGTGTCTCTACCGCAGAGGTAGACATTAAGGGTAAAATGGACTTGTATTATCACTGGCCCCACCATTGTAACCACTGGCTCGGAGCATTCGTCCAAAAACAAATCGACTAATAATGAAGAAAATTAACACATTTGTTGCAATAGTCATTTATGCACTAACTACATTACTACTTGTACTACAACATTTGAATCATCAGTTCTTCCTCATTTTCCTCAATTGTTCATATTTGGTTTATTAAAATAATGATATCGTGGTCATTGTTAATTGAGTATTATTATTTGTATAATGCACTTTCTGCCTTCCTGTCATTAGGAGTTAGAAATGTAATGGCTATGTGATAGATTAGATTAGAACCTTCATTATCCTAAACTGCTGGGACATTTCCCTATAGCCAATACCTTTTATATTGTCTACTCTTCACTTACTTGTCAGCATAGATCGGCATTGATGTACAGAGCCGACAGAAGACCTTGTTTATATTGGCATCATATTGAGAGGTGCAGCCAGTGACGCATCCTAAAACCAGGAAGTAAGCTGCTGGTTCCCTCGACAAAAAGCAATGGGATTTCTCCACAGGGTTTAGGAAAATAGCTGGAAATAAGGTCTGTGGAAAACAAACCTGTTTGATAAATGCACGTTTTGTTCAGCCGGATAATATCCACATGTCTACCCTACTTTTATAATTTTCGAATCATAAATCTAATCAATAGATTATAAAAGGGTTTTAGGATGCGTCACTGCACCACTAGAAGCCAACTCCATCGATCAAGCTGGCTGAAACTTTCTCTCCCTCTTCTTCTCATGCTCCCTGTCACTCTCCTTTAACTCCTCCGGTGACTTTCTTTTAATTGAAGATTGTTTTTTGCCCGGCTACCGCTGGTATTAAAAACATTTTGGCGAATGGTTAGGTGGCGCGATAGTCTGTAGTGAAGGAGCGCGCTCACGGGAGTCAAAATACCAATACCACAGGACCATTTTTTTAAAGCAATATTTTTAGAGGCCCGAGCGGGCAAGTGGAAAGTACGTTATGCTGGCCCGGGGTGTCTAAATAGTGCTTCCGGGCCAGTGGGCCATTTATAATGTCGAGCCCTGTACTGTGACATGTCTCCATGCTTTAATGTTCAAAAAGCTCTTTATTTTTCTCACAGCACCTATTTTCCGTTTACCGCTTAGAGGTGCCCTACATGCACAACAACAATCTAACACACTGCACCAAAGGGAAAAACCCATAATATGACCTCTTTAATATCCAGAACATTACATGAAATGTCATAATAAAAACAATGTTTATTTTATTTATTATTTTATTATTTTTTTAGAAAATTTACAAAATAAATCATATTTACTCAGGAGACAGGTGTTTAACAGCATGCCGTACACGCTGTAATCCTCCCTCTACCACTTTAAGAGTTAAAGGGCCCATAATCATTTCCGGTTATTACCCGTCCCCTTGTGTTATGAAGGTTTTTCTGCATGTAAACGGTCTGCAGAGTCACAAACCCTCAAAGTACACCCTGTAGCGAGTACAACTCTAACACAGAGAAGACCTGTCTGTGCTGCCCCAGAACGCCTCGTTGGACATTTTTCTTTTTACATTTTCTTTTTCCGGGGCATACTGACGTCACACACACACACACACACACACACACACACACACACACACACACACACACACACACACACACACACACACACACACACACACTCTCAGCCTTATCTTTTCTCAGCCACAGTGCTCCGCAGAGCTTTGCACACACACACAGGCTGTGTGTGTGTGTGTGTGCTCAGGCTGAGCTCCGCGGTGTCTCGCTGTCTCGCAGACCCCACGCAGCAACCAGGACACGACACCAGTAATCCAGCTCACACTGTCCGCTCCTCGAGCCTCAAAGGGCAGAGCAGCGAGCCCCGCAACGTCCCGCCAACACGGCACCCAGACCCCACGCAGCATTCTCATCTGTTTGTCATTACTGGTGTCATTTTCTGGTTGCTAACGAACGCCATTGTAACACATAATCACTGATGTTCCGCTGTAAGGGGGGTGGACTCATCAGAACAGAGTGGGCGAGCTGACCAATCAGAGCACACTGGGCCCACAGGGAGGGGGGGGGCAGGAGCTCCAACAAGCCGTTTAGGACAGAGAGTGAATACACATACTATACAGAGATGCTGTATGAGAAACCAATGTGAGTTTGGAACATTGAACAATGTAAATCTATTTTAGTAGACCTCAACGATGGAATTATGATCAGTAGAAATGGCCATGACATGGGACCTTTAACTGAACTCCACCAGTCAATTAAGGAGCTCTCTCATAAAAGCTTGTGATGATTTTCACTCAGTTTGCTTTTCTATGAGATTATGGCAGTATATTTTCTTCTCTTTCTCCCATCAAGAGTAGCAGTATTTGTTGTTGTGATGCTGCACCGTGTTGAACCTGCCCTCAGATAATGTGGCTGGATCCAAATAAAAAGTTCCTCTTAAGCACAATGGAGAGGATGAAAGCAGCCATTCTGCTCGGCTGCTTGCAGCGACGATTCTGATGCTTTTAGACGATTTTAATTGGTTTAAATCCTTTTCATCTGTTTTCGCTTTCCTCTGCCTCTCCAACCTTCTTCCCTCCATTCTCCCTCTGTCCCTCTGACATGTTTTCCTCTAATTGGACAATTACTCTGTATTCCTTTTTGTTAAGTGCAGTTCCGGTTAAGCATGAATTGTTTGGAATATTAATTAAATAAGGACCTAAACAGTGAGCTCATGCTGAGTCTTTATTGCTCAGATGTTTCTTCTCTGAAGCTATAAATAGTGCACAGCTCGGATTGAATGGCCATGAAAAACTAATGATAATTAGTTATAATATACAGTCTGTCCATACGTCTGCGTGTGTGTGCTTGCCTGGTTTCCTCGAGGCTTGAGCCTTAGAATTAGGATCAACAATTTCAGTCTTGGTTTCATCAGACCAGTTAAACTAGTCTCTAGGGCGGTGGTGGCGAAGTCCACAGGGACTTTGCTTGGCAACAGGGTGAAGGTCACCAGTTCAAGTCCCGGAAAGACCAAGTGCTACCGAGGTGTCCCTGAGCAAGGCACCTTTCCCTACACTGCTGCCCGGGCGCCGTACATAATGGCAGCCCACTGCTCCTAACACTAGGATGGGTCAAAGGAGGAACCGTTTCGTTACATAGTACATGTACTACGTAATGACAATAAGTTGAATCTTCTTCTTCTTACAGTCTGAGAATCCTTTAGGCGATTTTTTTCAAGTTTCATGTGCGTTTCACTGAGGAGACGTTTCCGTCTGGCCCCTCTGCCTTAAAGCCCAGATCTGTGGGGTGTTTGTTTTCCTTCTAGAAGTTTCTCCTAACTCTACCCAGTATCTCTGGAGCTCAGCAGAGTGATCATTGGTCACTTCTTTTACCAAGATCCTCCAACCCCCATTTACGCTGAGTGGAGAGCTCTGTAAATATACTAAGTGACTTTCCACCTCTAATTAAAGAGAACTATGATTTTCAGGTTCATATTTGCATTTTCAGCCTCTATTGGACATGTCTCCATGCTTTAATGCTGCAGCACCTCTTTTCACTCTGTGTCTGAAACCAGAGCCCAGTCTGCTCTGATTGGTTAGCTGGCTGCCTCTGTTGTTATTGGTGAACCGCTTAGAGATGTCCCGCCCCTTTGCATTACACGTACAATGTGTTGAAGCTCTAGCCAAAAGAAGCACAAGTGTTGATCTCATTCTGTTCTGGAGGTAAACAAAGGAGGCGTTTCAGGCAGGGGGGGGAGTTTGCGGGAAAGAAACTCCCTCTGGAAGGAAGACAGTGATTTTAGTTTTTGCTGAACATGAACAAAACCCATACACTACAGGAAAGAGAAAACCTCAAAAAGCACAATAGCTTAAAAATATCTGAGTTCTAAAAGTTCGATTAGAGAAAGGTGGGAAAAGCCACAGGTGTTTGTTTGTTTGTCATGTGCCCCTACATCACTACATCTACCTCTAGCTGTAGTGATTGCTGCAAACATGACATAAAGGTTTCCATATGTTGTGTTTTTATTTCCAGTGGGGACTGAACATGGGCAGGCCGCCGTTGAAAGTGCAGCTGTGTTTCTGTTTGAGACTTTCCACAACAAAGACCATGTGGGCACAGAGGAGACCCGGGCAATCAAGCAGATGTTCGGGCCCTTCCCCTCCTCTGCAGCTGAGGCCTCCTGTGCCTGTGTGGCTCGGCTGGTGGCTCCACTCGGAGACTCCAGGGTGGAGAACTTTATCCAGAGCCTGTCCTCCCGTCACAACCCCCAACGAGGCCCTTCTTTTGGACGTAACATCGCCTTCTCGTATGACTGCTATGCTCTGGACCCGCTGGAGGAGCTGCCCTGCTCTGACGTCAACGAGGAGAACGTGAGTCTCGACTTCATCAACTTCCTCAACCACCAGCAGAGCGGGAGGAATGTCCCCAGTGAGGAAGCTTCAGGAAGTTCTCTGAGCTCTGGGGAGGGAGCCATCCTGAGATCAGAGGTGGAGAAGTATCTAAATGGAGGCAACATGATCTCATCCAGCCCGGAGGAGCTCTGCACCTCCCTGTTTGAAATGCTGACCTCCCACAAGAGCGACGACGAGCTGCAGAATGAGGTTTGTGTCACCTGGAAATGCAATCCAACATATAGATACTTTATTTCTTAAATTGGCCTTGGAAATAATCTTGATTCTCACAGGAATGTATTTCTTTGCCCGACATTAAGAAAGATTATCTTCCACTAAGGGCATTACTATTGTTAATGTATTACTATTAGTTGAAACAATTTGAACCTTGCATGCTTCCCTGAGATGTCAGGTTTCTGCTGAATATTGAAATTGACTGTTTCACTTTGTCATGTGCTTCTTGCTTCTTCCTATTATTCAGTTCTCTGCCCAGTATTAGTACAGTGCAGCTGCTCCACAGTATACTTTTAAAAGCTTACAAAAGTCAACTCTCATGTTTTATCTATAACATTTACCTTTTAATGTCTCTGCTCATGATCTGTGAAGTGAAAACCTCAGATGTCCACACAGTCAGAGAAATAAAAAGTGTGCACACTGGTCTCAGTTATGAAATCGACTGATGGTCAGCCAAAGAGTCAGCCACACTGCACACTGGCCGTAGAGGAGGTTGTACAGTGTTTAGCGCAAACATTTTTAAGCTGACTTCGCTAGCCGATAGAATGTTGGAGCAGCCAACAGAAACGCCACATGCTGCCCTCGGTTTCACAGTAAGGTTATTCTGTCTGCTGTTATCCTGTGTGGATCCGTCAAGGTTAAAAAGGACGTTCTGGGGCCTCTCCACTGTTGATTAGGAGTTTAGTGAGCAGCTCTACTCTGATACTTTAGGGATCAATCTGAACTTGAACTTCAAAATGAGTAGTCGACTCTCCACGTGGTTAGTGTGACATAAAGTTTGACCTGTCCTCACGGTACCTTTAATGTCTCGGGTATCCTATTGATTCTATAACCATGACCTTCTGCAGCAGGCCTTCTGGCTTTGATCCAGATTGTGGATTATCATATGGGGGCTGTCAAGTCTTCCTTGGCCTTTAGACCTTTTTAGACGTTCCCAACTTCCTGCATGGCTTGACCTTCATTGGTATTAAAGACCCTTTGGAATTGTGAGCAACTTACACATAAAGGAGAGGTCAACCTTTAAGACAGCTGCAGCTTTAGGAAACTGATGAGTAGGGACTGGTGTATCGTCCCATCAATGTCCTCTACCAGTATGCAGTAGTTATGGCATGGGAAAGATCACTTTAAGTGTTTAGTGGTAATTCAAGATATATTTTGATTTGTATCTGCACCATACAGCATGTAGCAATTAGAAACCCACAGTGTAGCATACATATACAATAGAACAATTGTGTTACAAAATGTATGGGGTGGATTATTGTATGCCCATTTTCATAAAACATGCATTTGTACGCTTACACACATACAGTGGGGTTAGGAACAGGGAGTGTGTCTCGAAGGGGAAAGCTCTCTCTATTTACGTGCCTCAAACGCCTCTCAGCCATCACTCAGTCAGTAATCACACACACACACACACACACACACACACACACACACACACACACACACACACACACACACACACACACACACACACACACACACACACACACACACCAGAGACTGCCTGCTGCTTCCTGCGTCTCTGCTCTTATTTTCCATTTGAATATCTCTTACTTTGTTTATGTTTGCACAATAATATAAAGTATTAGGTAATAAAACACATTCTGATTGTGAAGCAGACAAAAGTGTTTGAAATCATGCAGCTTTTTCTTTGTATTCTTTAACATGTAAAGGCATACATTTGAAAACTTGTGACAGTCTTCTGTCCTTAGGAGAATAATGAACTTCACTCGCTCAACATCTTTTGCAAAATACAGTTTGGTCTGTGTGTCTGAAATGAGTGGGGGGAGAAATCAAAATTAATGCTGTTATTCAGCGCACACACTGCTCCCCAGTGTGCCAGATGGTTACATTACACATCTGTATGAGCCAAGAATTTGACAGTTGAAGCATCCTGCATCCTTTTTTAATTCAGCAGCATTAGAGAGGTGTATGCAAGTAGATGTTGTTAATTGATTGCATTGAGCAGGTATAAGCCAGGAGAAGGCTACCTCTTCGGTTTTCATCTGCCTCCACACCTTCCTGTAAAGGTCAGAGTCACTGTAGGCCTCTGGTTGTCTCATTCTGTGGGACCCGCCAGCAGTTATTTGACATCAGGTACATTTACTTATGGATCAGGAGAGTGCTCCATCATCCTGTCCCCCTGCGTTTTCACCAACGTCTACTCCCCGCTCCTCTATACTCCAAGGCTTTTATATTGTCCATGTTGCTTCTCGCTGTCTCTCTGAGCCTCTTCCTCACTCTATCAGAGAGATACAAGTTGTACAGTATTGAAGAACTTCCGCTGGTTACTGTTAGTTCCAATGTTTCTCACGTAGTTGACATTTGGAAGCGGACTCTCCCACTGGTGTGTGTGTGTGTGTGTGTGTGTGTGTGTGTGTGTGTGTGTGTGTGTGTGTGTGTGTGTGTGTGTGTGTGTGTGTGTGTGTGTGTGTGTGTGTGTGTGTGTGTGTGTGTGGTGTGTGTGTGTGTGTGTGTGTGTGTGTGTGTGTGTGTGTGTGTGTGTGTGTGTGTGTGTGTGTGTGTGTGTGTGTGTGTGTGTGTGTGTGTGTGTGTGTGTGTGTGTGTGTGTGTGTGTGTGTGTGTGTGTGTGTGTGTGTGTGTGTGTGTGTGTGTGTGTGTGTGTGTGTGTGTGTGTGTGTGTGTGTGTGTGTGTGTGTGTGTGTCCAAAGTCAACAGTCCAGATAAAGGCTTTGCACTCGGTGCCATTAGAGCTGAGAATGGAGAGAACCTGCTACTTATTATTTCTCATTGCACAAGCTGCAGCTGTGACCTTACATGGTTGTTGCTGAGTTGAGCGAGGGGGGATACAGTGGAAATCCATTTGGTTACATATAGTAGCAGATTAAAACGAGCCTTTGGCATTTTATGCAAATGTCCCCTCTATGGGACTAATAAAGGTATTCTCATTCAGATTTTATGTTCAAGTAGCCTCACGTTATTGAAAGTGATGAATTCCAAAAATCCCTGAAGACTGAGTGCCTTAATAGGTTTTGTTTGGATTGAAACAGGAAGCGTAATGATGACAGACTCTGATCTATAACCATGTAGAAACAAACAGCTTTAACACATAATACTATCATATAGACTATTTCATTATCTATTAAATCAAGAGTCAACAACCTTAGGCATGAGTGTAAGGATGATCATTTATAAGATTTGATTTAGACCAATTACATCATTTTAATGTGTGATGTATTGTTATGTGAAAAAAAGAGTTAATAAACTGAAACTCAGGTATCGTATTGACACTAATATCAACACATTTGAACTAATACGCAGTCATATGTTGTGCTTAGTACAAGCATGTTATGTGATTTTCTACTTTGAGCATTGTGTTTATAGGGTACAATTTCAACTCTTAAATATAAAACCAACCTACTTTGCAAATCGATGATTGTGTTGATTTGGTCTCAGGAGAGACAAAGTCCTGCCCAGTTTGACTCACATAATGCTTCCATTCACCAGCTGAGAAATAGAGCAGGCGAGGCTGAATATTTAATCACAGATAAAGGAGTAGAGGACACACCCTCTCACTCCTGACCTGTAGCCTTGAGGATGTGGAGTACAGCTAATGCTTTGTCACCAGGCTGTATAGGATGGAGGACTGCACAGAATCCATCTGAAGGAGAAACTCTGCCTCCCACGTCAACGGAACACACACCTAATCAGTCACCTCCAAGGACAGAATTCATGAGTTCATAAAAAAAGCAGCTCCCTTTGAGCTGCTGAAACCTCAGCCCTCTCCACAGTGCAGCACACCGAATAAAACCGAGACATTCTGAGGGACCAATAGAAGTTTAGAACAGATATAAAAGAGACCTCCGAGGGAAACAAAGATAACCCCGACAAAGAAGATAGCTGACCTGACATCAAAGTGCGTCTGTTGTTTTAGTTCCCTGCTGCGCTGACTGTTGCTTCCCAAGGGAGGACAGAGTGAAAGAGCACGCCATGCCTACATCCTGAAAACAACCCTGAAAGCAGAGGGGAAAATGCTGCATTGTTTCCAGGCTCAAATCACATACTAGTCTAGTTGCCAGCATTGTGAACCTGGAAATGTTGAGTACCCCAAATTCCTATGCCAGAAATGTGTAAAACGGGTCCCTCCCCAGCACTTAGATATGCCCTTTTCTGGTTAAAACTGCCATTTTGGATCCTGAGAAATGGATTCAGCATCCTTACTAACTCCTGAAACCACTCCAGAAACTCCAGAAATGGTTCTACTTTTGTCTGCGTAGGATATAATGCAATGTAATGCTAATTAACGCAACTTATGCAGTTTATATGTGCTGGGGACCCCTACTGTATTTCTAACATAATAGTTTGGGGTACTGAACATTTCTAGACTCTATAGGACCTGGCAAATAGGCCATACCCCGGCCTGTAGGTCGACTATTTACAATTAGAGGGCACACACTTAGTCATCTCACAATGACATTGATGAGTGTGTGCAGCCCTGTCTGCACTAAGTTATAATTGTGTGCTGCTGCTGTGCACAGGATTTCTTGTTGTTGTTGTGTTTCCGTCACTTACTAAGTGCCAGGTGGCTGTGTTTGGGAGGCTAAGCGACGGAGTACATTCTGTACTGAGCGGATGGTAATTACCAGGTGCTCAGTCTTGGCACTAGAAGCGTGTTTGTAGGTATTGGTGAGCCATAGGATGTGTATAGGTGTTTGGATGTGTGTGTGTGGTATGTTTGTGGTGTAGATACTAACCCCCCCACTCTCTCCCTCCAGCTGTTCGAGCTGCTGGGCCCAGAGGGGCTGGAGATGATCTCCACCCTCCTCCAGCGAAGGGCAGCCATCGTGGACTCCCTCATCTCCATGCCACCTGACAGGACTGGCTACACACCAGGTGAGACAGCCCCATGGCAACCAGGTCATCTCCATGGTAACGCAAACTTCAGTCGTTTTTGAAATAGTGGTGAATATGAAAAATTAATTTATGTAGATGAAACAAAGACACAACAAGGTGATTCATCTGAGCTTTACAGACTCCCTGACTGAAGGTCTAAAATGCATTTCTCTTTTATTATGATCATACAGAATCAAATCATAATGGGTGTTTGTGTGTTGTGTCTAAACCTTTATGCTTTGGGCAGGTTGTTTTGTTTCAGCACAAATTAGACCATATTTCGTGCTTTCCAAAGTCGGATGATAGCAGAGAACTGGCTCTTTTTATTTATGGTGGAGATTCTCCTGTGGGTGCAGCAGAGCGTTTGACAGCTCGGGATATGATCTTTTACAGCCAGTGCTTTGCTGCTCATTTTCTGTTTAAAGCCAGTAAAGAATTACTGTGCAATGTAATTAAACAAACAGTCGATCCGTCATGTCATATTTACTTTATCATTATTCATTCGGCAAACACATTTGTATTGCCTATTCGTAGCTTTATCAATAAAACAAAAAAACACACAAGCAAAAGTTATTTTTTATTATATTATTTATTATTTCTAGTTTTGTCATTTTTTCCCACTTAATCCAACTTTTTTATTTAGATAATTGCCATGAAAATGATTGGATGAAATGATAGCTTTATGTTTCCCTGTGGCATAATTACTCAAATGAAATGTCCTTTACTATCACTTTAATGTCACTCTATCTTACATTAAGGCCACCAAACCGTTTTCTAACAAGCTTTTGAAGGTTAAACTGTACAGCAAAACAAGAGATTTATTTATAGAAGGCTTTTTTTACTGCTATGTTTTTTGTTTTTAATGTGTTTATTTGTAAGTGTGAAGACTCCTTCTTTTCTAATCTATTATGTTTACCTAAATAATTCAAAAATCTTAAAGCATAATGCTGTTAATAGAATCTCAACACTTGTTCTGTATTTGATTGAAATGTTTAGTCATCTAGTGTTTCAGTACACATAACCCTTTAAATTCCCAACATGGCTTTTATTGTGAGACATTTGCGGGAAGCCATTGTGAAAAAATACGATTTTTATCGTTGCCATACTGTGGGTGTTTCTCAATCTCGAGTAAAGCTGCTCCAGAGCCACTATTTCAAGCATGCTACGTCATCGAGTGCCGCCGAAGGACTGTTCCAATGTCCAGCATACTTGGAATTCTACCGAGCCCGGCGTACTTCGTTTGGAGACATTTCGAGGCTGCACATGTGTAGACTCCACGGTCTTAAAATCCCCACAATGCTTTGCGCACGGACCAATTTCCCCAAATCTGTGGCGGAAAATGTAAGGCGGGGCCTCTCATATGACGCACACCTGCACACTTGCTCGCCTGTTCCACTCTTCGTTTTCCGAATGCCAGGAACAATTCTTGCCTCGCTTCTGAAGCAAGACGCTCAGAAGACATGTGCTACCAAGCAAGCGTACTCTACATTGAGAAACACCCAGTATCTCAGATGAAGCTATTGCCATTTTGTGCCACAACATGCAGATTGACTTGGGCATTACCATAACTCTTTAGAAGAGTAATGCAGAACTAATTAGTTTTGAAAATAGAGTGATTGATGTTGTTATGAATTCAGTTAAAGCGTTGGAAATGAACATTATGCTAAGTTGACATGCACATTGCATGTCAAGCATCAGGAGTTTATCCACCCTTGCCTGTATTTGAGACACAGCTTTCATTCTTTAGTGAAAGCTCTTCATTTAGAAAACAAAGTATTAGGCTTGTTTAACAAGAGCAGAAAAAGACAATCGAGTCTCCAACCAAAATGAAATGATGGAGTAAACCTTAATGATTACAATAAGAGTGTAGAGTTATTCCTAAACTAAAGTGATGTTGCAGCCTGAACATGTTCTTTTTTGCTGATTTCTGTTCCGAGAGTTGTCTTGTTTCATTTTGCCCTAGCCAATCAGTGGCGAGTAACCTACCTGTGCCATTATCATCTTAATTTGTCAAAACAGAGTTGGCAGTAAAGTTGCACTCAAATGATATGCGGTATACAGCTCCACGCTAATGTTGCAGTAGTGTTTCAAGGAGGGAGCAGTGCCGCTAAACTAGGCAGATGCGCACAGAGTAAAAATATGTTCAACTTTGGCCTAATTTCCTCCCATTCTTTGATGTCATATGGTATGATGTGATATTATTTGATGTGATGGCATATGGTATGATGTGATATTATTTGATGTGATGGCATATGGTATGATGTGATATGATTTGATGTGATGGCATATGGTTTGATGTGGTTTGGTATCATATGGTAGGATGTGATACACACATTCATACAAAGCAAATTGCCTGTAACTTAACAGGAACCATAAAAGCTGGGCTAGGCAAATGTGTAGAAACCAGCAAAAATAAGCTACATTTTGAAAGTCTCCAGCCAAAGAAATCCTATCCCTTCAAACCAAAGGCCATTCCTCCAAGACACACTTAAGTGCAGGGCATGACTTCTGCTGCAGGACGAGTGCCTTCCAGGTCCTGTTTTCAAGTCAATATTGAATGGCCAGTGACCACTTAAAAAGGTCTGTGCTCCTTGTTGTTCCACTGTTTCTTGAATACACTGGCCTGTCCGATGTATATTATGCATTGGGGAAACACAAAGTGTGAAGCGTTCCTGCTTCAGCTGCAGCCTGTGGTCAGAGGCACAGGGGACACTTTGTGTTGTTTCCAGGGCCTTTGTTCACTTCTGTGTTGCACTGTACATTTACAGTGCAACTAGAAAACTTTACTGCTAATGTCTTCTCTGCTTGGATTCCCAACGCCTGTCTGCTCTGAGCACATCCACCGCAAATCCCTCTCACTTTCTCTCAACCACACACTGTACGCTCTTACTACACGTTTATTTATTCCTGCATGGAGCCACGCAAGTCCTACAAACATCGGTTCATCGCTGGTGTGAACGCAGTCCGCACCAAAACATAGGAAGCGTAGTATTTACGTGTCACAAGAACGCAGGTGTCTTCAAAATCGTTAGCGAAAGAGTGAAGCAGAATGAAGTGTTGAAGTGTTGTGTAATGTAAAAACAACTATCAAACTAAAAACTATACATAAAAGTCAGAGCCACCTGCCGTCGGTGAAACCCCCTCCTTACTGCAGAAAACAAATTGAAATAGAAATTGCGATAGAAACCTAAAAATAGCATGATAGGTGACCTTTAAGAGAACAATTACCGCATTATATAAAAACACCCTGACATTGAATTTGGCATTGAAAAGGACCTAATGCCTGAAACATTTAGTAACGCACCATTCACATAATTGTTTGCCTAACAAGTACTGCATTCATTGCATAATGTTTTAATTGTTTCAAATACGTTTATACAATCATGTTTTTGGGACTCATCAGCACCTGATTTTGGGAAAATTGGAGCACAAGCTAGTGGTTTTCCTGACATCATAACCTTATGCTCAGGTAGGCAGTAGGCTCTTTTTTACCCAGCGGATACAAAAAACACCAAATCCACTATTTGTTTCCACATTGGCTTCAAATGTTTGTGGAATTCAACAATCATGCAAAAATGATTGCGGTCTGCTTAAATAATCACAATAGGGGATTATTGTGTGAGGCCACCTCCTGAGTAAGAGCAGTAATAAGGATGACCTGTGCATGGTGTTGCTGAGGCTCCTGTGTGGAAGGCTTACATTGGTTTCTGCTGTAGTTATCCATCTCTCCCAGCAGCTTAAAGCTGAGCTCATTGATTTTGTATGAGATAGTATTTTAGGAGGCTTGATAAAGCAGCCCACCTATCGGAGTGGACCTGCCTTCCATGTCTGCTTGCTTTCTTATTTTAAATGCTATCCATCCTGTGTTGTCTCTCGACCCCCTTAGTCCAGAGGTGGCCATCTTTCACCTCCTTAATGATGGAGTAGAGCAGTAAGTAGATAGGACGGATACTTTTTTTATGCCAGAGCTCTCTTCTGATCATCCGTAAGGTAGACATCAGAGAGCAGCTGAAGATTAGAAGAGAGAGCTCCAAAATGAAAAACAAAAAGTACTACATATAGATGTTAATGCTTGGTGTGAAGCAGGACATTAGTTTATTAATCTAGACTAACTCCGTTCATTCATTTTGCAGGTTAAATCATTCATGTTTTACATTGCTCCAGTTAAGATGTAAGGCCAATGCTGAACACACTACAGCCTTAACATAAGAGCTGACACGATACATGAATCTATTTTATTCAATTGCCAGTATTTCATCATGATAGGAAGTGCTGCTCATTATTTGTAATGTGATCAGGTCTCCTGATACACACAGTGAGTGGCTTCATCTTAAACAGAATAATCTGCCTGACCAACACATAAACCAATATGAGTTTACAACATATATAACTGTTTATATACTGTAGGTTTTTGTCACAAGAAATTACAGCGTTACACCTGTCCGATTTTGTTGACTTAACTTTACCCCCTTTAGTAAAATAGCTTTATTGTCTGTTTTAGATATCTATATAGTTGTTATTTTTCCTAATTAGACATGCCGTAGCAAACAGACTAAATGAATACCATTTAAATTAAATGAACGATTTGTAGCTGTGTATAAGGCCAACAAAAATAAATGCTGTGCTACATTTAATCCAATGAAATGTGTTGCTAAGGAAACATCTAGCACTTGTTTGCCCTTGTTGCATTACCGTTTAAGCTTACCTAAGTTTATATCAAAGAGAAGCTGCAGTTTAGATGCAAGGAACACGTTCACTTTTATAAAACTTCCCTCAGCAAATATTTGGTTAACCGTTTCTGTGGAATATATCAGACAATAAAAGTGTTTAGTCCAAAAACTGCAGTTGTATAGTCACGCCCATACTGCATCAAACCTCTACTGATGTCATTCCCATTGTGAAAAACTTTTGATCAGCGTTAACATTTCACTTGCCAGACAGCTTTTGAGATTAGTGTTGCCTTGACGACTGAGGGTGAAGTCAGTAGGGGTTAAAAAAGG